GAGTGGTCTGCAGCCTAATTGGCTGCAGCAGAACTGCTTGCAGTACAATTGCAAACCATCGTTCCAACAGCGCATCTTGCAAGCAGAGTGGCCTGATGTTCTCTTTCAACAGCTAATAAGCATAATTCCAAAGTCTGAAGCTCTCTACCTAGTTTCCTGGGAAACGCAGTGGCTGAGCCAGAGGTAGAGAGGCATGTGAGCTCCCAAACTGCTGGTTGTCTCACAACCATATGTTGCATGCCACTCATACAGAAACATCTGGAAACATTGCTGGTGACCTTCAAAATACTTACGCAGCCACCAAGCAGCACTTATAATCCCTCCATGAAAAGCAATCTCATTCGCTTGAGGGAGTGCAGCACAGGCCTGGACCTGCTCTGGCCCTGTGTACCAAGTCAGCTGAACTGTCATCAAATCTCTGGCCACATTGCCAAGCAGATTCCAACTACAAATTGTTGCAGCAAGGATCTGAGATTGCCACCAAACCGATATAGTAAACCAGTGATGGTCACCTGGCCAGTCAGGGACACATGCACCATGTGCAAACATTACACTTCCTACAAAAAAATAACAGTTAAATTTTTAGCATTTTTCAAAATGTTTAACATGTTAAAAATTCTTGGTTTAAAAGGAAAGTAAAAGGGAAATCAAAACTTTAACATGTTAAAAAATTTATAAATGTTAAAATTTTAACTGTTAAAAAAACGAATGAGGACTCTGGAAATTCATGCAGTGTCCAACAAAAACCACCACAGCAATCTCCAGGTTGATCATCAACCATGCGCACAGACATAACTGAGGTTGGGACCCACCTGCTCCTGCCCAGGAGCGCCTGCGCGTGAGAAACATTGGTGAACCAAAACGCAACCAGCTCTCATCAACTGCATCCTACCAAGGAGCACTGCACTCATCAACTGCATCCTACCAAGGAGCACTGCTCTCATCAACTGCATCCTACCAAGGAGCGTTGCAAACAGTCGTTTGTTTTTTAATACACCGCTGCCAAGTTTGTCTCATCGATCACTCTGCTGTATCTTCAGCTTCCTGTTGCACTTCCTGAGCTGCCACCACCAAGGACCCAAATGCTGAATTCAAACAGTTTGATTTTGCTGCCATGATCATGGACACAAACTCTTCCACTAGCCCGCGCTTATCCAGCTCAGACTCTGCTGCAGGCTCTTCGGGCTGCACCACATCAGCTGGCAAAGAAGCATAGGAAGGACCGCTTTTCTCCTGCAGGCATACAACAACAACATGTCTGCAAATTGCAACAGACCACACTGCTATTCAGTTACTCTCCACCAAGCATGCAAATTGGACAAAACCAACAGTCCTCTCCTTAGGCGAAGCTGTTTGGAGGAAGCAGATGGCTCGCCTCCAACCCACCTGCCCTCTTGCTTGAGGCTCATGATCTGGCCCTCGATCCAAGCCTTTCTCTTCTTGCCTTTGGCGCCCCTCTGATTTTTCCAAGCGTCTGGCAAATAAGCCTTCTCCCAAGCGTTTCCTCCCCAATACTCTTGGGCCTTGGCATCTTCTGGATCTTCCTGTGGCCAGTCCTCCTTCTTCCAGCCCTCCTTCTTCCAGACCTGTTTCCAGTCCTCCTTCTTCTTCTTCCAGTCCTGCTTTGCGTCCTGCTCCTTTTCCCAAGTCTTCCAGTACGATTGCTTCTTCCAAAGAGCAGGTGGATGGCTGGTGGGAGCTTCTGGATGGCTGGGAGCAGCTTCTGGATGGCTGGGAGCAGCTTCTGGATGGCTGGGACCAACTTCTGGATGGCTCGGACCAGGATCTTTCCTGCCAATCGTCCTCTCATCTCGGATGTGTGGCTGAAATTCGTGGCAGCTCCCCAAAATGGATTCTTCTGCGCATCGCCTGCAACAGCCTGCCAATGATCCAAAGCCGAGTTTGCAGCCTTTCTTGCAACTTCGCTTCCATACCTGGTCTCCTTCTCAATCTTAATGGCAAGTTTCAGGCTAGCCTCAGCCTTCTTCTGCTGCCGCATAGCTTGGTGAGCTCGGGCTGCTTTCTGCAACGCATCCCCATCCTGAGCCTGGCCACTCTCCTCCAGCCCAGAGAGGATTTTTTCCTCCTCATCTGATGAAGCAACTTCTGTGATAACAGCCGTGCTCTCTTTCAGCCCATACACAGGGCTGGATTCATCTTCTTCTTCAATCTCGTCCAGATTGGTATACCCCGTCAGCACACCCAGCCTTTTTCCAGCTCTGCTCGGGCCTCTGACCCACAGGTCGGTGTTCGGGGCCTGCCTCATGAAATAGCTTTTGCAAAACATATTGATGCAAATTTTGTCCCACATTGGGGACAGATCCTCAGATCTTGCAGGGCCTCGCCGGCCATGGGCTTGGAGAGTGACAGGGCGCCGGATTGCTGCCTCAAAATCAACCTCCACGCGTGCAATTGCTTGCCTAGTCTTTTGCTCTAGCGTCCTGCGGAGCTGCGTGACTTGCACAGTTTGCTGCTTGCAGCCGACCTATTGAAAGATTATCAGCAACATGCAGCATGCTGCTTCAATGCCAAGTGCTTTCAAGACAAATTCCTTCAACGCTGCAAGCAGAATGTGCGCCCACGCAGCCTCCAACACGATAGGCAACAGTGCATGCAGCCGCCAGCTGCCCAAACGTCAGGATAAAGACATGCACAGGCAAAGAACACAGACAGTCTAAGAGTTTAAGAGTCGAAAACATGGAATCTCCCACAACTGCGACAAGCAGGACTCTGGCATGAACAGCAACGCATCCTACCAAGGAGCATCAACTGCGTCCTACCAAGGAGCAAATTATACACCGCTGCACTCATCAACTGCATCCTACCAAGGAGCAAATTATACACCACTACATGTGCACAGGTGAGCCATCTGTCTCATCAGTCACTCTGGAGTATCTGAGGCCCTGGCAACACGAAAGCTAGCTCCACACTCTCACTTATGAGGCCCTGGCAAAACAAGCAAACCGGCACAACTGGCCAAAATTGCTGCAGCAACTCACGCTTCAAAAATCCAAGAAAACCTTGCAACCAAAATCAAGCAAATGGATTGAACAATTGCACACATGCATAGCAAGAAAACCTTTTCTGCCCACAAAGCGACAAAGGCCTCTCAGTTCAAAGTCTTTGCTGCCTTCGGCTTCTGCTTCGCCAAATGATCTCTGCATGGTCGATGGAAATAGCTTCATCATCAAGCTTCACTGTGTACGAATGCTGCCCCTTGCAGCCCTCTGCAGCCTGTGCTTCCACAGGCAAACCAGTGATGTCATGCACTCCAAACAAAATCTTCTTGGAAGCTGAGGAAGTCTCAGCAGGAATAGGCTCTGCTGCAAGGCCCTCCACAGGCCCAGCTTCCTGCCCAGGATTGCATTCAAAATCTGCTGCAGCTTTCTCAGGAGCTGACGCAGCAACAGAGCCCTTGCCCTTGCCAGTGGCTCGAACCCTCTTGAGCTTGGGCCCTGACTCTGCAGCCTGCTGAGCAAGCCACAAATTGGGCACTTCAGATGGAAAGGGCTCCTCATTCCCCTTTTCCAACACTCCCCTCGAAACCTTGCCCTCTTCAGCCAGCCGGATGTAGCACCCTTCTGCTGGGTCAAAATAAGGCTTCACTGTGCACGGCTTCTTTGGGGAGCTTCTGTTTCTGAAGATGACCCCACTGTGCTTGGCGACTCAGATATGGAAATAGCATCTCGAGAGGATCCTGTCATGGCAACATTGGCATCCATGCTCTTTGCATTGGCGCTGCCCGCTGCATATAGAGCAAGGATTTCATCTTCGGTCTTGGATGGTGCGCCGAACTCAAGCTTTCTCTGACGAGCCACCTCGTCAACAGAAGGTTGACCACCTTCAAGAGATCTGCGAGAGCTGGGGCTGGAGCTGTTGGCAGAAAGAGTCTTCAGCCTCTGCGCAAACTTCCACACTGCAGGCTCCAATTTCTTTCCGCTGGAACAGCTTTGGATTTTGCTTCGAGCAAACTTGAACGCATTGCAGATACCTTTGGAAATAGCCTTGGCTTTGTCCACACCAATCTGATAGGCCATGCTCAGACCCTGCTGCACTTCCTTCTGTCCTGGCCTGATCGTCTTCTCAAGGAGTTCAGAGAAAAGCCTTTCATTTTGAACTATCTGACAATCTCTCGACTCCACAGGACAAAGCAACCCGTCATGTCTTTGGCAGTGGCAGTGTTCTTAGCACAAGCTTTGGCCATGGCTGTTGATCTTGATCTCTCAAAACAGCCGCAATTTCGCACGCATGTGTACGCCCAGGCGTGCAGCACAGGCATGGTGCGCATGAATTCCTGCGCAGGATTCCACACAGCTGCATGTTGCACCACAAACAGGCAGGGCAGCAAAGGGCAAATTGGGTCGATCTCCAATCAGCATCAAAAAGGGATTGAACGTCAATGCTCCCAACCGTAAAGGGGTACTAAGAGACCAAGATTGAGCAGCCTCCAGATGTACTGACGAGCAACCTGGGCAAAATCGACAAGAGCTCCTGGTTCGGAGGTGTCTAGAAGGGTTCGTGGTCCCGCCGCCGGGATAGGGCTTCCTCACGACCTGAAACAGGATCCAGTTGTCCGTGACAACCCCGCGATTCGGCTCTGCGCCCATCACCGCAAGAAGAGGCCATAGCCATCGGGCGCGGCATTGCCGCGAAGGGCGTCGTCCACGAGCCGGGCCCACGGCGCGAAGCTCCGGGTGACGCCATTGTGTGAACACGTAGGCGAGGAGGAGCACGTGGCGGGTCACGTCCCGCAACCGGGCCACCAGCCCCAGCTTCTCAAAACCGTGCGCCAGAAGCCGCGAAAACGCTCAACAAGCTGCCAAAGAACAACAAATGCCGAACAATTCATAACAAATCAAATCCAATGAAAAAGAAAACCCGCACAAGAGCTCCAAGCAAATTCCTGGAACGAAACAAAAAAACTCCTCGAAACGTTGCCATCATGTTCACCAAGTCTAAGCACAAAAGGCTCATCTGAAATGCTTCAAATGCCCGGGCGCCATGTAGATGTAGCCATTTGCGGCAACAGCCCCTCGCCTCGAGCGCAAAACTCGGCGCTGCAAAGCATTTGTCCGCTTGGCAGGGCGCCACTTGCGCCGCAACGACCCGAAGTGTCCCAGCAACATGGCGCTCTTCTCGCGCGGCGAGATGCACAGCACGCTGCAGGAATCGTAGGGAGCACCTTGGACAGAGGGCCAAAAGGCCCAAGGGGCCGCGCGTGCCAAGCAATGCAAGCACGCCAGGCAGACAATAAATGCGACCATCACAGCCCACAGCGGCGCCTTAGCTGAGGCACAACAGGCTCATGGACCTTGCGATCTTTGTAGGCCTGCCCATTTGCTTTCGCCTGCGGCAGCTCTCGACTCTGCAAGTCTGCAAACCCCGCCCTCTCAGACTCAAGCATAAACACAACGGATCTGCGCAATCTCTCCTTGGGGCAGCTCGGCAAAGCAGCTGGCGCGACCAGCCTCTAGAGCAACTTGGAAGTCACACGCGCGCCGCGGCCGCTCCGGCTCGATCCGCACCTGGACGTCGATGCACAGAACTGCCTGTCGGTGTTTTCAGGAACACAATCCGCTTTCTGTCTGCGCGCATCGAAAGCCGAAAGAACATCGGTTTGCGCGGCAGGGTTCAAGCCTCGGCGGTCCATGGCACGCAGTAGATGCCTCAGCCAGGTCAAGCGCCGCACAATCTCAGTCGTCTTGTCCAGAAAACATGACTGTGTTGCTGTCGGGCGCCGGCGGGAATTAACCTGATTACAAATACATCCTGCGGCTTTCACGCGGATATATGGATATTGGGGAGGCCCTCTGGGTCTGCTGGTATGTCATTCTCTCGCACAAGTCGGCCGTCACGCTACAATTTTGGGGGGGACATCTGTGTCGGGGTATTACTCAGAGACGTACAACATCGGGGAGGCATTTCTTGCCGCTAGGGCGGCAAGGTGCGTTCTTGGTGCACCCTTTGACCTTTAGCAGTCACAATGACTGCTCGCCATTGGGAGCCTGGCGGCGACGGGGCCTGCTGGTGTTAGCAGCTCAGTAGGCCTCTGCATGCATGTTTTTGCTGTTCGCGCAGGCGTTTTACCTACCAATGAGCACCCCCCAGTTAGATAAAACCCCCTCAACCGACCAATTCACATAATATTTTTTCATCAATTCATAACAGAACCTCAACTCAAGATTTGATACATAAATTTTGCAAATATTTTTCGAATTGTTCAAAAATATTATTTTACAAAATTATCATTTTTCCGAAGAATTATAAATCATACATTTTATAATATTCTTATTGTAAAGTTTATGGTTAAAATTTAAATCATATTATTTCATAATTTGAATAATTGCAGAATTCCTCACGGAATATGCTGAAATGAAATAATTTTCCAGAAAGGGTAATTCACCTACAATTTGAAAAACTTTGTCCTTCACTTCCTCCATTTCCTTTTTGACCTCTGGTGCTACTGGAGGTTTTGAATTTTCAATTTCATTAGGTTTTTCTTCCTCAACTGTTGTTTTTACTTTGTTCTCATTCTCAATATGCTTCAACGTTTTCAAATGCTTGGATATTGCAGATTTCCTCACTTTACACTGGTAAATATCACATTCTATTTCAATCTGATTACGCACTTTACTATATTCCTTTTTCTTTTCCTTCCTATCAATTTTACTTTGTTCTCGGCAGTAATCACAAATATGCACTCTAACATTAAATAGGTCAGGTGGATAAGTGTTTTCACATCGCCTACATTTTTGCATTTTGTCAGTCATCTCCATGCTACTATTGATAGGTGGCATGTCTTTAAGACCAGACCATCTTAAAATTCCCAAAATCCCAAATTCCCAAAATATATTTTTCCAAAATCCCAAAATATAAAATCACCATAATTTTCAAACATAAATCTTACAATGTTTTTTATTGTAAGGTTTATGGTGTAATTTATAATTTAAGTTCAGGATAATAATTTAATTGACAAATCTCACTTATTTCATACATCATTTTAAAAATAATATTAATATCTCTCACTGTATTTTTAACATTAAACTTTTTATAAATTTCAGTATAAAATTTGATATATTATTTAATATCTTCTCCTTTCTTTTGACTATGACACAACATCAATAATATATCAGCAATCGTTACATATTTCTTCTTACTGATTTTAAGAAACTGTTTAACATATTCGTAAGGTGGTAATTTATACACAGTTAAAAATATCAAAATGTCATCTTCAACATTTCTTTCATCTATTTTTTTAATCTCCAACATATTTTCCATTATATTTTGATATCGTCTCCATCTTCTACAAGTTCTACATACATCTTCTTCATCCATTGAATAATCAATAATATTATTTATTATTCCATTAGGTAAGTTTAATTTATACAATTCCATATTTTCCTTTTTAAAGTGGCAACAATCATAGCATTTCTTATTAATATACTTATTGATTTCGATACCGTTCATTTCTTCACTATTAATATAAGGTGTTTTTTCTTTAGGTCTATTTCGCCTAAAACTAAATTATTAATTAACATTTTTTTCATAACAAATCAGAGAAATTCAAACATAAATCTTACAATGTTTTTTATTGTAAGGTTTATGTGTTAATTTATAGTTTAAGTTCAGGGTAATAATTTAATTGATGACTATTAAATGGTGTATATATCTTACCTCTTTCATGCATCATTTTAAAAATAATATTCATATCTCTAACTGAGTTTTTGTCATTAATTTTTTCTTTCAATATATGTTTTAATGTCTTCTTTTACATCAAACCCTTCCCTTTTATGATAAGCCAACATCCATAATATACCTGCAATCATTTCATATTTTTCTTACTGATTTTCAGAAATGCTCTAACATAACTATAAGGTGGTCTTTCATACACAGTTAAAAATATCAAAATGTCATCTTCTACATTTCTTTTGTGTCTTCCTTTTATTCTCAACACACAATTGATTATAGCTTGGTTATCTCTCCAGGTTTTACAATTTTCACATAAATCTTCTTCACCCAAAGCATAACCAATAAAATTATTTATTATTCCATTCGGTAAGTTTAATTTATACAATTCCATATTTTCCTTTTTAAAGTGGCAACAGTCATAGCATTTCTTATTAATATACTTATTGATTTCAATACCGCTCATTTCTTCACTATTAATATAAGGTGTTTTTTCTTTAGGACTATTTCGCCAAAAAATTCAATTATTAATTTAAGCCTTTCTATTATTTTATCACACGTTGTTTCATTATAAATATTACTTCCTATTTTTGTTCTAAACAACCCCATTGTTCTAATTGCATGTGTTATTGTATATCTAAGTTCGTCAATTCTATACTCATCATTTAAAAACTCATTCAAAAAATTAAACAATACAACATAGTTTAAGCGTTTAATATTAAAAGACATATTGTATAATCTTTTTACCATACAATAATACTCAAAAGTAAATTCATTATTATATCCTTCGTCGTCACATTCTAATAAATGATCAAACCCTTCTATAGTTAAGAAATTATTCATTTCAATAAACACAAATATTTCTAAATCATCATCAAGAGTTTCATTATGTATATTATCAATGTCTTTGTTATTCATATCATCATTTTTTTTATAATTCTATTGCAATTATTGCATATCATATATTGACAAATATTATTACAAACGCCATTTGCAAAACCCCGTTCAATTGGTCATTTGAGCATTTCACAGTCTTTACATTTATAACTCATAAACTTGTTTTTCAATATATTTTTAGCATTGATACCGACTGTATCACTCATTTCACTAGAATATATTAAGTTATTATTTCTTCAAGTCATGTTGAAATCATAAATCTTACAATGTTTTATTGTAAGGTTTATGGATTAAAATAATGGTCAGGCAATATGTCTTCAAATATGTAATCTACATATTTATCTACATCACCAATGTCTATATATTTGATATTGTTTTTCCTATTATTGAATAAATATATTCCCAAAAGAATAAATACAACAATAGACATACTTTATATTTAGTGTTGTAGTAATACCATATACTATATTTAGTTGCTCTAAATTCGTTCAAGGCTTCGTTTATTTTATCTTTGTCTAACAAATGCCAGTCAATCCATTCAAACAAATAACGGTATTTTTTGACAAATGCTTTATATGGTTTAATTGCGTTTATTCCTCCAAACCTCCTAATTAAATCTATATTACTAAAGAATTCATCAATTTCATTTTCAAATGACTTTCTGGAAATCTTCTGGTAAAAGTGTATAGGAAATCTTGCTTGGTGTCGCATAAAGAATTTTAATTGTAATTGAAACTTTGTATATCCCTTATCCTTATGTTCTTCAAGAAAAAACTTTTCAAGGTCTCTTGTTATACAGCATTGATTGCAATATACATTATATTCACTTATTTTATTACATACATTTGCCGGTAGTATATGATGTAAGGTTAAACTCAAATTATTCATTTTGCATTTACAGCATTCGCACTTGTTATAGTTAAACAACATTTCACTAATATTATAAGGCGTTTTTTCTTTAACTGTATTTCGTTTAATATTAAACTTTTAATAATTCGTGTCTCAAATAAGGATTAGTTTTTCCTTCCAAGTGAAAGTAAGATTGCCCTAATTTACTATCAATTGATTTTACTTTAAATACTTCTTTTATCCAATGACTGGTATGTGCCTTTTCGCTTATGCCTTTCTTCCTCATTATTTTTACATTACTACCCACTGACAACTCAGGGTATTTTCTAGTATTTCTTGCTTGCATTGTAATATTCATTTTTACTTCAAATTCATCCTTTTTCATTCTTGCGTCCTTCGGTGTAAATTTAGTTGCGGAATGAATATTCTTATTCTTGTAAGTTAATAATATTTCAAAAATATAATCCGTCCATTGGATATTCTGCTTTCCATTTTTCTTGTCCGCTTCAACTCGTTTAAACAGTTGATCTTTAAAAGTCTGAATTCCGCGCTCCGCAAATGCTGGATGACCTCTAGTTCTATGTAATTCAATTTTCTCCTCCTTCAAATAATCTAATACTGATTGATTAAAAAAACTGCCTTCCTCGTCGGTGTAAATTAATTTCGGTTTGCCACCCATCTTATTGATATTCTCCATCATTCCTGCTAAAATGTCTGGCGGTGTCTTGGATTTAATTGGCACGATATGCATATATTTGCTAAAAATATCAATGCATATCATTCCAATTCTAAATGTTTGATTTTCCAAATCATTTGTAGAAATGAAAAACATATCAACTTGAAATTCCCAGAAACTATGCGGAGCAATAAAACTATTTTCACCTCTCATCTTTCCTTTTTCTTCTACAGTCTTACTAAAGAATTCATTCATATCGTTAATTGTAATACTACTATCTTTTTGCTTAGCATCCTTGAGGGTTGTTTGTTTTGAACCATAACCGCTTCTATCATAATATACACTCTTAATAATTTCTTGTGTTGAACTCATTAATTAAGTTAATAAAATAATTTTGAAAAACTCATTTTCAAAATTATTCATGACGCGCTGCAATTGCAATAGACACAGAAGGCGGTGCAGTTTTCAACTGTGTGGCATAACTCATTATCACAACGTTGAGCAGTAAAGTTAGAACTTATCTTTCCTCCTCTTGTATCTAGATTAAATTTAATTCCG